TTTCTCCCCCTAAACTTCCTTTGATCATAGAAAATCAAGAATACCAAGAATATCAAGAATGACCGATCAATTTGGTGGGATCATTTGAACCTAATGTTGATCCCCAAATGTCTATTGTGACACATATATACTTCGCACTTCAGGTGCTTCAAAAACATTCCCGGCGGGATCTTTCACCATCCCAGAATTTGGAAGAACAATTTCGGCGTTTTCGTCATAGCGAAATGGTCATTTTATGGTTGTTATAAATACCTATTAACCATTGGATGACCATCCCCTTTTAATGGTTAATAATACCATATGTTTATGACCATTGCTCATATGTTTTATGTTTTTTTTTGAGGTTTGACAACCCTTACAGCGTTTCTGTCTTCCAAACGCAGCGATCTGCGGCAATTGTTGCTCGCCTCGGGGTGGGACATGTTCATCCACCATTGACACGTCACAGGTCAGGGGTGGGAGGTGGGGGTGGGGAGGGTCAAAGATACGTCTACATTCTTTACATAAAGAAAGGTTCTGCTTATGTCGGTCGCCTCTGCATCTTTCTTTAGATGTGATGTTAAAGTTACCACCCCACCCCCACCCACCTCCAACGTACCCCTGACATATCGTCTAAGATAACTAGATGTGATGTCAAAGTCGATGATGTACGAAGATGTACATAAACGTTCATACCCCACCCCACCCACCCCCAACGTACCCCTGACGTATCGTTTAAGAGAACTAGATGTGATATTAAAGTCGATGATGTATGACCATGTACATAAATGTTACTACCCCACCAACGTATCCTTGACGTATCGTCTAAGATAACTAGATGTGATGTTGAAGCCGATGATGTATGAACATGTACATGAACCTTAATAAACCATCCCACCCCATCCCCAACCCCACTTTGTGGGACGGTAAAAGATCCTTCTGCACAAACTTGATGGTGTACACCGTACACCACTTCAAGATGCGAGAAGAGTCATAGACTACTCATAACTCATACTGTCGATATCATCGATATCCTTCACTTGGCGACTTCTCCCCGCCTTCACTTGAGAAGACAGCGATCTCGTAGCATTTGCCACATTGGCAAAGGCCCCATGGGCCCCGGCCTGTCGC